ATGGGTATATGAAAACATAAAAACCTTTCGCCGTAGTACACGTAACGATTAATGTAACAACAATCATTTCGCAACATGAGACCGGGATCCGTTATTAGCTCTAACTCGCTCCAATTTCGCAATCGTCATCGGGCAAACAAAGACAATGACTGACTCATTACGTTTCTATCAGCAAACCGAGACACACGGTCGACGCACAATGCGAACGGTGCCATCCGAAAATGGAAACGCACCGATTTGGCGTTTTACTCGACAATGAGTGCGTTTAACTTAATGCGATTGTGTACGGGCCGGTTCTGATTTATTGGCACCGACTTGCCAGTTTGCACAGGATAGAGCAACTGTGTAGCATGGCCAGTTTGCACAGGATAGGTTGTAGCTGTGTAGCATGTATTACTAATATTATTGATGAATTAAATTTTTTGCGTGCGTAATCTGAATACGGACTCAACGTCCGAATGGTATTTGAATGCATCCTTGAGCGGACATATGTTTTTTCACATTTTTTTTAGTGGCAAGTTGCCAAGCGAGCAGGTGGTTTACCTGAACTTAAATGAATACCGCCGCCCATGGACATCTACTACACCTGAGGGTTGCAGATGCGTTGACAACCTTTTGAAAATTGGGCTCCGGCCACCTCACTCACCAGACGAAACGCGAAAGTATTATACATATATACTTCCACTTTACGCCGGTCTTCTGTGAGGTAGTGGTACTTACCCGGACGAGCCTGCCCATTCGTGCAACAGCCGAGGCTGCTGCGTGGCCCTACCACAGTTACGTTAGTGTTAATAAATGTTGTAAAGCTATTGATCTAATATAACGTGTCGACTCCACACGTCGCGTCGCTGCCTTATCTAATCGTTTTATTATATAAGATGGTACAGGTATTATTTTAATCTGCGTGAGTATCAACAGTATTAACTCCACACATTGGCGTCGTCGAGATATTCCGCAATGGTATAATACGCTTTAACGATAACCATACATCACGAGAACCGCTGGCTCGTCCGCCGCTTAACATAAAAAAAGAGATTCTACGCGACAACGTAGTCATCGGTACACATCCATAGCGTACAGCGTGCATCTCAGATGTATATCGAAATGCGAACGCACCGATACCAAAACAATTGTCCCACATTAACGGATGCCGCGCTGCTAACGAAGCGTGATGTACCGATAGTACGGTCGGCATCCGCGCGATCTCGTTACGACCGCCGAGGAGCTTGCGCACCGTACAATTAGCCCCTTATCAGATGTATCGCAGAGCCGAATGCGTTAAACGGTAGTTAGTTAGCCGTGATTATTATTATTTAGTGCGGCTTCGAATAAAGGTTACGCCCACGCGGCGGTGACTGCGCCGCGCTGGATTAGTGTGGATGTACCCTTTTAAATTTGCTGGAGATAGAAAGTAATGTCAATGGGCGGAATGGATACGGCGTTGGAGCTAAAGGGGCAGCAAACCTCGGATTGGAAACCCCCTCAAAATTGGAGTTAACTTTGAATAAGTCGAAATTGTATATTTTAATAAATTATTGATGTTTTAAAAACATTTAATACAACTTTTGTACTTCTAACACAAGACATTGCTTCTACATTTTAAACATAAAGCATAATATTTCGGTAATGATGCTTATTAGTTAGAAATGCAGACGAATAAAGAAAAACGATATTTCTGAGAAGTGGCGATGTGTTGGCCATATAGCTGATACCATACACTGATAACCAACGGGGAAGAAAGGCTTTCGAGTGGCAGCCTGGTACTAGCCATCGTAGTGTAAAACGATGGAGATAATGGAGATCCACTAGACGGAGTAACGGCCTCTACAAATGTGCGGAAAGTTGATGGATGCGGGTGGCTCAGCATCATGCTTCGTGGCAATCTGTGGGGTAGGCCTATGATCAGCAGTGGACTTAGACAGGATGAAAATGCTGAAAACGAGCTTATAAGATCTCTGCAGCTCTGTAAACAGTAAGTTTAAGTTTAACCGGCTTGAATTACCAATCAGATACACATTTCCGCCATTTACGAAACATAAACTGTCGAGATCAAAACCGCGCCGCATCCACACTAATCCGTCGTCTGCGCTCGCCGCTCGATTGTATCGGCCGGCGCGCAGAGACGTTTGGAGTCATCCTTTGTGGGCATTTATTAACAATTGTACTGGCGATTCGCCGATACCGGCTAATTACGGTGATGTGCCGTTGCATACGAGAGTAACAGCACCGGATTTTCCGCCTCCGCTGTTTAGACGTCGGCGGAACCCTCAATGGGACAATGGTAAATGATAACTGGTTTTGGAATTTGTAGGAAAAATAGACGAGAAGTTTCTCGCCGGAAATCGTACCCACGTGTTTTTGATTCGAACCCAGACGCTTTAATCGCTAAGCTAAACAGCAGATTTTTTAATGTGATACGGTTGCAAGTGGGCTGGTGGTTCTCCTGATATTAAGTGATAACTGCCACCCATGTATTGGAATTTACATAATTTATCATAAGACTAGCTGATCCGGCAAACGTTGTTTTGTGGAATTTCCTAAAATCCGTTCTTAGCTGACCTCTACTCAGCGAAAGGAATATTCCTGCCAAATTTCTAGTCTCTACGCCTTATGGTTCCAGAGATATCGTGATGAGTCAATTATCGGTGGAAATTTAGATTAGAAGAAGATTTGATTGAAGAAGACTTGTTAACAAGCCACCAAATTTTATAGTATTGATGAAATTTGGTATTGAACTTACATCGAAACTTTTACTACAATACATTACTTATAATTGTAAAAAATATGGCTATTAATTAACGAAGACACCATTCATCCCTTCTTGGTGTTTACGAACAAAATTAAATCCATGAAACTGAAAAGGGGCTGAAAAACTGAAAATGAATCGTTCACGTTTTGATAACAAACAGTTGAAGCAAATGATCGACGGTTATTTCTATATAGTGGAACGCAACATTGTTATATATAAGCCGTAACTTGAAGCATAGTTTTCATTCACGCTTAGCAATATGTCCTTTCCACGAACACAGCTGCGCCCAATGTATAAATGTACCGTGAATTTATTACGAAGGATGGCGCACTACGCCCGTGCCTCTTATTCGATTTCAGTTCGACTCGTAATAAATCCCAAACAAAATACATTACCCGCTCTTTGGGTCCACGTAACTTATGGGATGTGCCATTGTCTGCTATATAACATAGATTAGGTCCCGTTCCTTGTTTGGTCTAAGAAAATTATGGCGTGTGTCTATGACTCATATAAAATTTGGGTTATCTGTGCTGATTGTTGAATTGGGTTGAATATTAAAGTTGTAGCTGTCAAAGAAAGCGACTAAAACGGGACACTGTGTTTGCCAGAAAACGGCATGTGACAACTTCTCCGTTTACCAACCCAATACACGTAGCCGAAAATTGGAATCGCCCAGTTTTGCTTATTACCGCCGCGATTTTGTCAAACCCTGTTTGCGCTTTGGTCGAATGAAAGTTCTTACGTCACGATTGCAAAACCTATCGCCCAATATGTCCTCGGGCGCAGTAGAACCGCCACATCTGCGTATCCCCGCTTATAATCATGCCTTCTTTGTGCGTGCCGCCTATTACGGAGACAACGGAACGAGAGAGCGTCTTATCTCGCGTAGATAGCCTAATTTCGCGACGCAGCCCCTCGTGGCAGCTTCCTGGTGCGGTTTCGTCATTGGCCCCTTAAACATTTCGATGAGGAAGCCGGGGTCATCCAGTAAGATCTATGAACGTGCTACCTGTAATAGCTTCATCTTAAATTATCAACAGAGTGAAACTCTTTTAAACGCAGAGTCAATGACAACAACGGAGCTTACTCCAGCGATGATCTGAGACTCCTGAATAAAAATACCCTTTCGACACTAATCACTAAAATCCTTCATCAGGAATCTACCATAGTTCTATCTAGTCAATGTCACTAATTATATTTTCATTAATTACCCTACGCCTGGGCTGATGTCGCTGTACTAACTGTAATTAGATAAGTTATAGAATAAGTAGTAGAATAGTTAGATAGAAGGGTTTTTAGCAATTTTAACGTATATCTTTAAAACAAAAATCAAAAACAAAACAAAAACAGAATGATAAAATGATTCACAATTTATCGTCACTTGTAATTATAATGTAACTGTATGCCTTTAAGGTTTTTAGGGTAAAAATATTGTTCAATTGTATTAGCATAATGCTTTCGCGTTTGTATGTAGAAGCAAATATATGTCAAATTAATATGGATACGATTGTCCACGACAGTCCACCACGCGGCCCCACTGCGGATTGGCGGACTTCACATATCTTCGAAAAATATTTTTTTTTGTTATTATTTCGAAAATATGCAGGTTTCCTCACGATGTTTTCCTTCACCGCGGAGCACGTGATAAGTCAGCACTTAAAGTTAAAAACTTCATTGGTGCCGGCACCGGGGATCGAGCTCAGGTTGCTCGAGTATACAGGCGAATGAAATACAGGCGAGCGCCCGGACACTGAACTATCACGTGTTAACTATCATTAAAAATAATCAATAGTCATTGGCAATAATCTATACTGTTAGTATATAGTTTGTCAACAATATTTAACTTTGTCTAGAATGTAAGCTGTTTTAAAAAATATCTTATCTAAATACTACACACATAATTTTTAGCGTATTAAAGACAATTCATATCTTTTTACAATATCTCTTACTACACTTAACAGTTTTTGCTTAAAATTGTATATTATTTTTTTCAATTTTAATTTACTATGCCTTTTTTAATGACTTTTTCATATATAAAATTATGTAATAAAACGTTTTTTTGTACCCTATTTACAAATTAATAGTGTATTATTTTTATTTCTCAATGTGTTATGTATATTTCATTTATTTTTACTGTGAGCGATGTTCTCGTCAGTATAATGTCTTAGTCTATGTCTATACTATCTCTATCTCTCTTTTTTGTCTATGTCTATCATAATACAGTCGCTTTGTTGTCTAGTGTAAATGAGGAATGTCTCTTTGGATGCAGGACGAGCCGGCGTCGTCGGGCGATAGCGGTGACGAGAGTGGGAGTGAACCAGACTCGCCTTGCGACAAGAAAGCCCACCAGCAGGAATGGGCGTGCAACGACAGCGCTGAGCGCAGCAGTAACAGGTATGTTCTTTCTATTCAATGTGTATCCCTCAGGAACTTATTATTCTTCTATTATTATCTTATATTTTTTATGCGAGAAGGTCGCAAACGAGCTGGCTGTTCACCTGATGGTAACTGACAACCGCCGCCCATGGACATATTATATGCAACACTCGTAGCGTTGCAAATACGTCTGAGCACGCCTCGGAGAAGGATAAACCTTCTCCGATTCCCTCAGCCTCTTGAAGCAGTACGAGACCACTTCGTGCTGCTGCCCATCCGTGTCCCCTTTTAGTTGCCTTTTCCGACAGGCAGGGGATACCTTAGCCCTATTCTATGAGCCCGGGACTATAGGCGTGCTCAGGCGTAGTACCGAGGGACACCGGTGCGTTCCATGGGAGACCCCGGAGTCCCTCCAAATGTACGGAAGGTGGCCACCGAGGGGGTTTTAGTGGGTAAGAACCCCACATAACCCTGTCATATAAAGTGACATCGTATCTTTCGAAAATTTCCCCCCCGATACCAAAAAAAGGTTGCAAATACGGTGACACCTCACTCACCAGACGAAACGCAGAAGTATAACACTTCCACTTCACGTCGATCTTCTGCGAGGTCGTGGTATTTATCCGGACAGGCATGCACATTCGTGCAACACACAAGACTATTTCGTAGCCCTACCATCATTAAAAATTTATATTACTCGGATCATGCTGAGAGCATCAGAACGTGCTGAGAAATCTAGCTACTAGATTTGTGTTAGTAACTCTTGCTTTCTATTTTACCAAGTTGTCCCATCTTATTTATAGTCAGACAATTATATAGTTAAGCGTAGACCAAGGCGGCTAATACTTAATATTAAGCAAGGAATCTTCCTCAAGAAATTCTTGCTTAGAAATTAATTGAACAGCCTTCTCAGGGAGACTCCAAACGACAACGTGCCATCTACATCGACGATCAACCAGGAACCGGAGAGCAGTAAATCAAGCCAACCCTCGCTGCCCAAAGTCTTGCCGAAGATAAATCTGCCGGGCGGAGCGATGCTGTACCACTCGGGCGTCCTGGCAGGCGTCGGCTTAGACGGCCTGGGCGCTAACCTCGGCCTGGGCAACTTGGCTATGGGCTACCCCCACAGCTTCATATTAGGTCTCGCGAATCAAGGTCAAGAAGGTGGTGAGTAGTTTCTTTAATGAAACATATCAAAGCTTTCATGTGTTTTACTCTGACGGAGATACAATTATATTTTCTATGGCATATCAAGTTTATTGTTAAAATCAAAATATGAGAAGTTATGAAGCAGTCGCTGTTCGTACTAAACATGATGTCAGAGGTTTTTTAAATAGCAACTTACGGGACTAAGTTCCAGATATGCGTTATATCCTTACTACTATATAATAATAATAGCCTTGATTCAGACCCAAAACGGATAATTACAAAATAATAGACTTAAGTTCGACCCTGTTGAGTCGATGACATCGACAACTTTGTCTGTTTGCCCTTTGACAAAGGCTTTCTCTATTTTTTTACTACTAGATACATTATACCAATTATTATACATCTTTAAAAAATCTTTTAGTGAACGTCTGCTGACAAAATTCGATCGAATGCATATATGAAAAAGTCTACATCTTTACGTAACTAACGCCCGGATTCTGAGATTCCTGTCATCATAAAAGTCAACTAATCAGCTCTGAAATGGATTTTCAAATGTTATTTGAGTTGCTAAAAGGATTGTTATACTCTTTGAATTGATTATTCTGATCATTAAGAAAATCTTGATTGATTGATTGATTGATTGATCAATTCAGAGAGTTTAAGCATCCTTTTGGCAACTTAAATAACATTTGCTGCATTTGCATTGTTAAGAATATTTTTGAAGCCTGGGAAGAGTCACAGGATGCCATAGGTATATTCTGTGACTTAACCAAAGAATTTGATTGTGTACAGCATGACACTCTGGTCAGGAAACTACACCACTATGGTATAAGAGATGCCGCACTCAATCTTCTGACATCGTACTTGAGCTATCGTGTTCAGAGAGTTGACGTGAATGGCAAGAGATCTCCCGGGGCCCTGGTAAGTATGGGGGTTCCACAGGGATCTATTCTGGGGCCTTTTCTCTTCCTCATCTACATAAATGACCTGCCCTATCTTGTTAATAATGATCATGAGATAGTATTGTTTGCTGATGATACTTCTTTAATTTTCAAAGTTAAACGACATTCTTTAAATTACGACGATGTTAACAATACTCTCTCCACTGTAGTGCATAGGTTCAGTGCTAACAACTTAATGTTGAATAGTAAAAAAACGAAATGTATTAAATTTACAACTCCCAACGTAAAAAGTGTAAAAACTGATGTACTTTTACACGGGGAAGCGTTAGACCTAATTGACTCGACTGTATTTCTTGGCATAACTGTAGATGCCAAATTGCAGTGGGGGCCCCATATTAATAAACTGTCGAGTAGACTTAGCTCAGCAGTCTTTGCAGTCAAAAAAATTAGATAGTTGACTGATGTGGATACGGCTCGTCTGGTATATTTTAGCTATTTCCACAGTATAATGTCTTATGGCATTCTACTTTGGGGAAATGCAGCCGACATAAATACTATTTTCATCCAGCAAAAGAGAGCTATTCGAGCGGTTTATAACCTGGGCCCCAAAGATTCACTAAGAAACCTGTTTAAAGAAATAAAAATATTGACTGTAGCTTCTCAGTACATACTTGCTAATGTTATGTATGTCCACAAAAATAAGAATGACTTTTCTAGATTTAGTAATGTGCATGATGTTAATATAAGGAACAAGCATAAATTAGTTCTACCCTCAACTAGATTGAGTAGAATAAGTAAATCTTTTATGGGACAATGTATACGCTTTTACAACAAAATTCCAGAAAACGTTCAAAATGAATCCGTTGCTAAATTCAAAAAACTTGTAAAGGAACGTTTGTGTGTTAATGGCTATTATAGTATTAGTGATTATCTGAATGATAACACACTCTGTAAATGAATTGATCGCTTCAGGCTCTTTCAAGTGGAATTTAATAATTGTACACATATTTGTAATTTTTTTGGCAAGTAAAAAAAATGTCCCGCTGAGTTTCTTACGCCGGTTCTTCTCAGGTCAGTGGCTTTCCTTCCGAACCGGTGGTAGAGTTTTTTGACTATCAATAAGTAAGTGAATGCTTCTATATTGAATAAAGATATTTGACTTTGACTTTGACTTTGACTTTGACTTTGACTTTGATTTGACAGCTGATTAATTGACTTCTACGATGAGCAGTGTTTCAGAAACCGGGCGTAAGATTTCTTTTGTAGTCTTGACTCTCTTTCCAGACACGTATGAGCCGTGATAGCTTTTTGTCCGGGCGCTCGTTTTTAATTCAATATCCTTGAGCAACATGAGTTCTTCATAAGTTCTGACTTGTCACGTGCTCAGCGGTGATAGAAAACATCGTGAAGAAACCTGATTTTTTTTAAATAATAACAAAAAAAATATTTCGAAGTTATGTAAAAAGTAAAAGTAAAGTAACAGCCTATACATGTCCCACTGCTGGGCAAAGGACTCCTCTATACAGAGGGTATTAGGGCATAGTCCACCACGCGGCCCCACTGCGGATTGGCGGACTTCACATATCTTCGAAAAATATTTTTTTTGTAATTATTTCGAAAATATGCAGGTTTCCTCACGAAGTTTTCCTTCACCGCGAAGCACGTGATAAGTCAGCACTTAAAGTTAAAAACGTTATTGGTGCCGGCACCGGGGATCGAACTCAGGTTGCTCGAGTATATATAATAATTAAAGGCGAGCGCCCCGACACTGAGCTATCACGGCCGAAGTTATGTAAAATCCGCCAATCCGCAGTGGGCCGCATGGTGGATTTTGCTTTGATACCGTCTGAAGGAGGCCTTTGTCAAGCAGTGGGATATGTATAGGCTGTAACTTTACCTTTACTCTACCGCTGTTTCTTACGTGGCATCACCCAAGCCGTGGTATATGAACCCGTTCTTCGGCAGCGTCATCGTCGAACCAGCCACAGTTCATCACCATTCCGCTGTCGATGGCGATGGCGGCCGCCGGCAACCCGGTCGCCAACGGCTGCCCCGTCTCCGCTTCCAGCGACGACAGCTGCGAGCTCCAGGACCTGAGCACAGGCGACAGGAAGTAGCCCCCATCAAAGTCTAAGGTCTGTTGCGGTAACTCGGCTTCCAGTCAGCCCATTAGAACAATTTTTTTAAATATTTTTTTACATTTTTATTTTTTTTAAACATTGCATTCACTTTAGGATAACATTATCCTGCATTGTAAGTACGAGACAATAAACGTGCGGAGCGTGTGAAGGAAGAAGTTTCATAAAAATTCGCACATAACTTTCCGAATAGAACTTGAGGCAAGAGTGGAAAAGGTTTTCTTGTGAGGTTCAAGAAAATTAGTTTTGCGTCAATTTTTCTCAGTACAGCGATTGTGAAAGACGGAATTTGACATTTTCGTCTCAAACGTCTCGTCTCGAAAACTTCGGATGGAAAACACCTTTTGTTTATCGCTTTATTAAATTTTGTTTTTTGAAGAGCAAAGCATGATCCAAAATATTTTCTTTAATGTATACTCAGCAAGTCGAAACCGTTCTAACTTATAATTACTTAGGTACATTCCTTTTAAATATTTCTATATAAGAACGATCTAAACTAAGCAAAGAAAGTTTTGGAAAATCTCTACCTTACTTCGCCCAAGCGTAAACTACCTTATAACGTTTATCAATAAATCTCAAGACATATTACTGTTATTTATTTACCATTTCTTTTAAGTTCTTAAGTTGTATTTTTTGTTACAGATTCAAGCTGGATGAAGTATTACTTAATCGTTGAAAATTCGTTTTTCTTTTTTTTTTCTTATAATTATCTACCAAAGTATGGATGTTGATTTCAAATAGCAATATTACGCATTATATACTAACATCGTTACGTCAAGCCTCTTAATCGATGTTAACATGTGGTATTTCAATGTTTATAAGCAAAAATTTCTTCTACGTCCTCTATTTGTTAACTTTTAATTATTCTTACAGATAACTCGTATCGTATATTCCATGACGCTTGCCAATTGTAAACCGTAAGGGTCGACTCTATTAGCAGATGTAAAATTATAAAATTGTTTACAATACGTAATTTATTGTATTTAATTAAGTGTATTTGAAAAATAACATAGGAGTATTTTTATACCAAATCGTCACTAATACTTTGTTAATCATAGTATATATTTGTACGAGTAAAATACTTGCAAAGGTTGTTTTTGATGTTACAAAGCATTTTGCTATTTATATCCTAGATAACTTCTGTATGTTCATTAAGTAGGTACTTCAAAATATTGTATGAGTTATAAATTAATTACGAAACTGATACTGATAAGGTATGTCAATTTTTAGCTCTTTACGGATGTCATTAGTCATCTATTCCGTGAAATTAACAAAAGAACTCAATAGACCATAAGGTCATTATGCGCGTAATATTTTGTAATGTTATAAAAAGACCGCAAAGCGTTGTGACATTCAGTTAAAACTTGCTCGGTCTTACAAATGGTTCATGCAGTTAGTGTAAACGAACACGCTTAAACTATTCTGATTACCAACTATTTCACAATTGCACGTTTACCGAGTGTAAGATTTTTTAGTGACTTTTAATAGACATGTAAAGTTGAGTTATTTTCAACTCTAATTACAATGTCCAGGGCTCGTTTTCGCTAAGCGTGCGAGAATGCAAATAGAGAAAGGTATTTCATCGGTGTTCAGGACGTTATTAACGTTTCATTGTGTATATGCCCTTATTTTACGCATTTATTATAGTTCCCCTTTGTCAGTACAGTCGACGGCACAAATCCTGCGCGAGACGTCATGGACGTCGTCATTATGCGAATAATTGCCGACAAAAGGTTATTTTAAGTGTTTTCGTCAACTGTACATGTTTACCAGGTGTATTGATTTGTTTTTCATACTGTAATAATTAATGTTCCTTTTTTCTTTTTTTATAATAAAATAAATATGAAAATGTACTGGATGTTTTTATTCATTTCTCAAATTTGTGGAGTTGTTAACAAGCTTCTTTATTATTACGCCTTAATATTATGAGAAAAGAGATCTCAGTTTTCCTTTTTTTGCGTGAAAGCTGATAATGTTTTGCAAAAGAGAAAAATACAGAGATCTGAGAAAAACACATGAAGGTCATCAAAGACTTATTCTGGATGGGAATTGAATCTCCAATTAATTTTTAGGAACCTTCAAACTGTTCGAGAAACACGTTCACCAGATTAATCTCGATGAAAACTTAAAGGCGGCAAACGCAGCAAAGCCCACACGAGTCCATATTAATCCGCCTTCGAAAATGCTGCTACTAGAAAATACTCACCGACACATAGATGTAGCGATCCTGTCTTATAAATTATGGTGTTAAAACCCTCTCGAGTTGACTACGCCGTGAGATTTTGTGGGACCTGACGTCATAAATTTTCTGGATATTTACTGCGCCTCCGCCATTGGCTGACCATCGACCAATGCGCTTGATTATCAAATTCAAAGATAATGAATAGTAACAGGCAATGCGTAGAGTAGCTGAATTATTTCAATTTAATAATAATAATAATAATAATAGGTCTTTATTGGTCTAAAATCACAAATAATGTAGGTACAAGTACTTTAAAATACAATTATATTAGTCAGATTTTAGACTAAAAGGTCTGGGGTTCAGGTTTGTTACACACATTGTGCACAACACTGATATTCTACCCCAGCCTGACATTACACAGACTAACAGAACACTTTTAAAATTTTAAGTATTGAAAACTAAAATATAATAGTAATGGGAAAAAAATAACAATATCTAAAAAAAAAAACTTCACCATGAAATTAAAACATAATGATAAATGTAAACTGCCTTAAAATGTCTTATCATGTGGTACCAGAGAGCTGTTTTTTTTGTGTTTTTATTTGTATCATTGGCTAAACGGTTTCTTTTATAATCAGATGTTTCTCGAATCTGACATGGGATGTTGATGATAACCAATTTTTTTTGTGAGAACCTGGCTAACGAACTGGCGGTTCAATTGATGTTAAGTGATAACCGCAGCCCATGGACATTTGCAGATGCGTTGCCATAAATGATGTTCTAATAAAGTGAGCCACGGCTACCTAACTCACCAGACGAAACGCAGAAATATAACACTTACACTTCACGCCGGTCTATACTATATATACTTTGTAAACTGTTATCCCAATAACAAGTTATCATGATGTCAATTCTTGAAAGGTGACATACGCTTAGCTTAAGTTTATTCAACTAAGTTAACTTTATTAACTTAGTTAAATCTGTTAAAAAGTTATGATTAGGTATATCATTTATACCTTATCACCTCTTCCCATATCAATAGATATATCTGGTAGACAGATTTTGTCTTTCGCCGCGCGCATTGTAAAAATTCTATTCTCACACATAATTTACAAACGCGCCAAAAGAAGTGTGACTTCAATTAAAAAAATAACAGCGACTCCACTGTTCTCTGTCCTCGACAGCGCCGCTCATAGGTGGGCAACGGGCATGAAATCGATCAGCGACTACGCAAACGCACGCAAACACACAAACACAGACCGCCCAACGGCATTTAGACGAATGCTACGCGGTGAGCGACCCGTGGACGTCTCTCAAAAAAACTTCACCCGATAGAACGATAACGACAAAATGGACACGATAAATACTAACGCGCTCTCATTATGTATGACGCTATTTTTAGCGTCCCCAAAGGACCGTAACTAGTGCCGGGAATGTTCCCTTTAATCGTCGGCCATTGTTGGTGCAGAAATGTTTACTTATTCATGTGCCTGCTTTCGAAAGGGACTGCGCGTGGATAGGAATATTTGATGTGAATTAAACAAGAAAATTACTTTAAAATAAAGCTAGTTAGAGTCTAGATATGTTACCCGGAAGCCGTAGGTTCGAAGTCTGCCTGCGGGGAAACATTTTGCGATAGTTTTTTGATAGCTCAATTAGGCCAAAAATAACCAAATAAGAACAAAAAATAACCAAAGACTAATTGAGAAAAGCAACGAAAAAGTAAGAAATATCAATATGAACAATGGACGTGCTTGCTAAGGAAACGAAGATTAAAGTAACAGTTCCCAAACTGACTCGCAAGCTCCCTCAGGCATGGCTTTAATAGGTTATTATATATTCGAAACTGCCAATTCGTTATACAGGTACCTAAAAATCTCAATAAACTTGAAACATATAAATTTCAGAATAGGAGCGATCATATTATTGAAATCATTATATGAGAAAATCCTAAACATGTATTAACCCTGATCGCATATATACCGCTGGGAAAACATTGAGCCCAGTAAATATGGAGGCAGTGTAATGAATGTAAGAAATTCAAAATGTCCGTTAAGTGCGACCGGTTGACACAAGTTTGTTTGTTAAAGACTTCGAGGAGTAAATTCAATTCTAAACAAACCACGCATGCGGTAATTAGAACTCTTCGCGATCCGATCCAGTTGGTCGTGTAATAAAAGTTTTTAATTCGCGATGCAATTGACCAGATAAATTGAGTTGGGGCCGCGTCATAGATCATTAAATGTGACGCTCTGGATGTTGTGTTAACGCAAACGTCATTTTTAATGCGTCGGGTACATACGTACTTTGAATATAATGTTTAATGTAGTAAACGTTTCAGCCGTTTTTAATGTCGTTCAAAACATCCCGGGAAAACGTTCTTCCGTCGACTCACGATACCAACTGTTATGCGTTGAATTTATGCTTCCTTGGCCCTAAAGTGCAATTTCAACACTGATACATACTTCTCTGTTGCTGTTCTTAAAAATTAAGGATCGAAATTCACGAAAACTCAAGGACATCTAAAGTAGCGTCCCAATTATTAAGCTTCATATTTTCTCACGATGTCGATAATCGACTTGCTACTGTGATGGTCACCAAGAGTATGGAACAAACTTAACTTTAACTAACACGACATTTCTAAGGTTTTAACAATTAAAATTTATTAACTAGCCTAACTACCTCTGCCTTCTGCCCTATATAAGGTTGTCACATATTGCACCGACCGTAATGAGATGGAAATATTCAATAAAAATGGAATATATTATTAAAATATATTCACAATCAGTAAAAA